TCTCGTTGCGATCAAGCTGGTCCGTCGGTCGGTCAAGCCTCGGTCCCGTTAAGAACGGAACGCAGGTGCTCTCGAAAACCAACTGGAAAAAAAGAACAATTCTTCGTTCCCATAATGCTAAAATTTGGCTTATTTTGATGCTTATAAAATTTGGCATATGCTGATATTCATACTGAAATGTTGTGAGAGAAAAACATTATTTTATGATCGAAAAGTAGTGCTGAATAAGCTCAAGCGAACAGGTTCCTCGCACGATGTTGTTTTTTCATCGTGCCACGAGAGAATCTGCGAAAATTTCTGCCAGGAGAGAACCCGCGTTGCATAGACAATTCGGTCTATTTCTATTCAGAGATGTCACCAACCTGACCAACGACGCAACGAACGCCCGACCGCGCCAAACCACGAGGGCGAGAGGGGGGGACTAGTGGAGTCGCCACTTGGGGTTGGGGGGGAAGCGTCAGGCAGCCAGCCACGGTCGCCGTGCCGAGCGAGAAAAAATAAACAGCGCGGGGCACGTGCTCCATCCCGTCCCGGTTAGAACAATTCTCGGCGCCGCCTCCATTCCGTCCATCGGGTATTCGGGTCCGCCGTGCGCCACGCGATAGGGCCGTGGGGTCGCCGGGACCGCCGGCTGGGATGACAACCAGCGCCGCGCTGGGGATTGGGCGTCGAGAGCGAAAAAAAACGCTTGAAAATCCTGCCGAATTGCCGAGACGATCCGGAACTGAACGAAACAAAATCAGTGTGATGAGCGGGAACATTTGGCCGCCTGTTCGCATGTCTCGAAGCTAACAGCCTAACTGCTAGTAAGAATTAGTTCAAGTCATACTTTTATCATCACATGACTAGTTGCTAAACTTTAGCCATTAGGCTAACAATTAGTTCATAAACTTTAGGAACTCCATATCTCAACAGTTGGACTAATTGATGGGCTACAGTTCACGGTAATGCTCCGGTCAGGATGTCTGTTCGTCCAGACGGGACGGACCTGCCTCATGTCGCGCGCCCTGCGCCTCCCGCTTGGTGTCGCGCGTCCCTGCACCTCGCGCCTCGTGCCGCGCATACCTGCCCATGCCTCGCATTGTCCTCGCCTCGCGCGGCACGTTGCCCGCATCTCGTGCCTCGTGCTGCGCTCCCCCGCACCCGCGTCAACCTTCATTGGGTGGCAACAAGTAGATGAGCACGTGTTGCAACCGTATGTTTCATGCGTTTCAGATGTATGTTGCATATATTTCATCTATATGTTGTAAAAGTAGATCTGGTATTGTATATGTTGCAATGGCTATACATGTGTGTCGCAAGCATATGTTTCAATTGTTTCAAACATATGCTTGCAAGTGTTTTATTTGGATGTTACATATGTTGCAGTGGCTATACACGTATGTTGCAAGTGTGTTTTTCAAATGTTTCAGCTGTTTTTCATCTAGATGTTGCATGTTTTCATCTGGATGTTGCATATGTTGCAGTGCCCATACACATATGTTGCAAGTGTATATTTCAAATGTTTCACCTATTTTTAGACGTTTGTTCCAAGTGTTTTTATCTGGATATTGTTATATGTTGCATTGGTTATACACATATATTGCAAAAGTATGTTTTAATTATTTCACCTGGTTTTAGTATGTTGCAGACTTGCAGCAGGTGCTGCTCCCCACTTGCTGTGACTCGCGGACACGCACGCGCTGCATGCACCCATCTAGCGCTACAAATCTCTATCATGCGAGCCAGCTCCAATAGTCAGATATGCATGCAACGGGTGGTCGGTGCCTAAATGGCCTAGCACTCCCTGATCAAAAAGTGAATGCCCGCATGCAGAGCGTCAGAGCGGGTCAGCACCCAACGGTCGTACAACAAGGCGCCCCTACACCACCAGGCTTGGTCCCCATGGTGGAGCATGTAGCCAGGGTCAACACGGGTACGCGTGCTGTGCTCCCACCCTCTCTCTTGCATGCAGTTAGGCGGGCCTCACGCACATGCTCTCCTATGCGTAGGTGCAGCAGCAGCAGCAGCAGCATGGGCGCGAAGCACGAGGGCAAGCGTAGCAAGCCAGCAGGCGTAGTAGCAGCACACGCAGACCCAACAGCAGCAGCAGGCGCGAGGCGTGAAGCATCGCGGGCAGGCGCAGCAGCACGCGGGTGTGCGGGTGCATTCGGACGTCCGGGTGCTAGCATGGCCCTAAATTTTAGCCAAGGCATATAGACTAGTTATTAGCTCACTAGCCCACCAAACCCAACTATCAGGAGCTAAAGTTTCACTGGATAAAAAAAGACACCGGTGCCCTACCCTAGGCGACCATATCTCGCCCCCGAGCCCATGGCTAGGCTCCACGCGCGGCTGTAGCTGCGTCCGTCGTCGCCGTGGCCGTGGTCGGCCTCCGCCACCCAGGCCGCCGAATCCTGCTCGCCCGGGGCCTCCATGGCCACCGACCGCGTTGTTGTTTCTTGCTCGCCCACCGCCCCACATCGGTTCGCAAAAAAACTTAGGCCTTGTTTGATGCATGTGTATCTACTTCAATCCACATGTGTTGAACTAGTAGCTTGATCTAGGTGAGTCTAATGGTTAGGTGTGGTGCACACTTGTCAAACTTAGCACTAGGTAGCTCAGGAATAGCCTAAAGATCAATTGGAGTTAACCTCATTCACAAAGGCTTCGAATTTGCAAGTGAATGGAGGGTCAAATATTGATCGAACATTGTTTTAGTGATGACCGGACTCATAGGTGCTGCGCATGGTCAGTGATCAGCGCGCACAACAGAAGTCGAGGAGCGACCGGACGCTGCATAGTGATTAGAACCGGACGCGCCTCTAGTGGTATCTGTAGCAGTAGGGCCTTGCTGTCAGGGAGGGCCGGACGCTGAACAGTAAACGACCGGACGCTGAGTTTGCAGCGTCAGGTCAACATCAGAGAGGGTCCAGAGACTAAAATTCCTGACCGGACGTGTCTCGTGGATGTTGACCGGACGATGGCCAGCGTCAGGTCACTCCTGCAACCTTCTCTGATAGGCTGACGCCACGTAGCCATTGGCTATTGATCGGACGCGTCCAATCACTTCGACCGGTGCGTCCGGTCACTCCAAAAACTGCTGAGTTGGACAATAACGATTATGTTTTAAAGTGGAGAATATATATACTTCTTCTACTCGTCGAACTCAGCTCTCTTGCCCATTTGTTCAGCTAAGGAACATCTTTGGAGTGCAAGGGAGAGCAAGAGCCTAGTAGGGTGATTGAGATTTGATAATTCAAGATTAAGAACCTTATTAGTGCATAGAGAGTAGTAAGTGTGTATTCACCTTTCTTATTAGGCTTGTCTTGATGAAGTGAGAGTTTGTGCTTGTTACTCTTGGCGATTGTCATCACCTAGATGGTTTGGTGGTGATAGAAAACTTGGTGATCATCCGATGGAGCTTGTGGATGACCCAAGTCATGGTGTAGCGGTTATGGGCGATTCACCACGACGGAGTGTCAAAGAATCAACCCGTAGAGAGCACTTGATCCTTGTATGGATCAAGGGGAGCTACACCCTTGCGCTGGTGCTCCAACGAGAACTAGTGGAGAGTGGCAACTCTCCGATACCTCTCATTCTCTTTACTTTGAGCATTTATATTTGATCAATTTAATCCATGTCTTTATATTCTTAGAATTACCATGCTAGAGTAGGATTGGAATCTAGAGTGCAAAACTTTTGTGTGGTAGAATAATAGAAACACTTATAGGCACAAAGGGAGTGAAATGGCTAAGTGTAGGACTTAATTATTCAAAAAAAATAGAATTAGTCCAATTTATCTCTCTTGGGCATCTTGATCCTTTCACCGTGCTTGCAGGAGGAGCAATATCCATGACTGCGCGGCCACACTCGGCGTGGCGGGTGGAGCGCGACTAGTCAACCTCGAGCGCGCAAAGGCGGCGGCCGAGGGGCGTCGGGGGCGGGGCGCCATTGCTAGGCCTCTAGCGTCGCAGTGGCGTTGGAGAGGGAGCCTAGAGGGGTTTGGAGGTGGTGAAGAACTACAGCGAGGGGTATAGAGGTTGGAGAGATCGTGGAAGGGGGAGGCATCGAGCTCGCGGCGGCTCATGGCGGCAGGGGAGGGACGCTCTAGAAGGTTTTGGCCTCCATGGATTCAGAAAAGGTTCAAGGGGAGCGGGGGATTTGGCCTCCATGGATTCGAGAAGATTCGAGGGGAGGGGTCGTGGCGTTTGAGGAAAAAAAATTCTAACGAGAAGTTGACCTGTCCACACAAACTTAAGGGCTATAAACGACGTTATGTTGAGATAGTAATATCTATTGGCCTAGGGATCGAATCTGATATGAACTAATCACTAGTCCTAGTTCATCTAAACAAATCGTCTCTTAGTTTGCGTGAGGCTTTTTTTGCAAGAATCACCGTACACAGACGACGCTAATAGACGTGTTGTATGTGCCCTAATATAATTAATCGTTAGTCGAGTGAATCAAAACCTGCAATTGCAGCGACTAGTGGAAGAAGCTTCTCGATCGATTTACAATGAACAGAGGAATACTTGTGAAGTGGTCACTACTACAATAATCATTTGTAGGGGCGGCTAAAGATCGTTTGTAGAGGCGGCTCAGCCAGCCGCCCCTACCATACCGTCTCTACAAATCATGCATTTATAGGGGGTTCCCAGACCGCCCTTACAAATCGATTTGTAGAGGCGGCTGGTGTTATCAGCCGCCCCTACAAATCGATTTGTAGGGGCGGCTACAATACCAACCGCCCCTACAGTACATTTTTTCGCCTCAAAAAATTCAAATTTACAATTCAAATTTGACAAGAATATATATTTTTCATGCACAACTCCATCATGACTTATCTTCTTTTGCAATTGTACTGAAACTCAAATCTCTACTACATGAGTATTGATCCAATTATAATGAACATATTACTTAATGCTGACTTGTTAGATGAGGAACTCTACAACATGAGTATTGGTCCGACTGACCATAAAATGCTATCATGCTACCTAGATAGCTAAAGATGTTAACAGCTAAACAACAATGAACTGATCCATCGTGAGTCCAAGTTCTTCCAAAACCTGGAAAATCATAAAGAATGGCTAAGACACTAAAGGATAAAAGAAGATAAAGAAAATATGTGATGATACCTTTGACACATCAAATTCTGTCACAGGAGATTTCTTATAACCAAGGTCAATTAAGTGACGAAGAAACCTTCGGGCACCAAAAGTCAGTGAGTCCATGTCCTCTGAAGCTACAGCATAAACCTGGCATTCACAACTCAGAATGAAATAAAAAATAAAATTATGCTAAGATACAGGAATTAACTTGGTATACCTGGTGATTTTCACAAAGTGCTGCACACTGTGCTTCAGCCTCCCCTGGTGCCTGTGGAAGTGATCAGGAAACTTAATTACTTATTACCTTTTTTCTCGAACATGTAGAAGAGCTATGTGTAATTCCATAAAAAGGTAGAAGCGGTCCAATTACATGCCGGTTTCATGGCTTGGGCTAGTTTTTCAAAGGATTTGTGGTCTTTTACCTTATTACCTATGATTCTATAACAGTACGAGATCACAAAGACCAGGTACCATGCTTGCATTGCTGCCATCAAATCAGAGTACAGAATGTGGTCCAGACAGAAGAATCACACCCGCACCGGATCAAAAAATTGTGTTTTTCTCAGTAGTGATAATATCTATATCATGTGTGGGCAGCTATTGATTGCCAAAGTTTACATATCAACGTGTGCAATGCGTAGCAATGGTCTATTTGTACTAGTTAAAGCCCAATCTTAACAGCCCTAAGCTCATGAACCTAGAGGGCTGACTCATGAGTTCAACTTGAAATGTAGTCCCTCAGGCCATGTACCTGTGGTGTTTAAAAACTGTATACTATTAGAGATATGTAGAGTCTAGAGATATGTATGTATTTTAAGCATTCCTAATATTCCACCTCGGTCACAAGCTCAAAACAGGCCTCATTAAATTGTCTCCCAAGGCTCAAGCGCTTTAGAGAGGAGCATCGAAGTTTTTCCCTGCATGCTTAATCTGTGCTAAAAATCTCAGGAATGCTAATATACAAGACAGAGGGAATGGCTTAAACCTGTCTGAGAAGCCATACAAATAGGAGTTAACCAAACGCTTAAAGCATCCTAGTGCAAAACCATTCTTTAAGTTCAAAAGATCATCAATATTCTACTGACCCCCCTTGGCACTGGAAGAAGACATCAGCTGATCTGTATAGAAAAGTAAAGAAAAACAACTTAACTGACAGATGGACAAAAGCAATAATGATGCCTCAACTACAGGGACGCCCATCAATCTTAACAGCCTCTTGCAGTCATCATTGTGTTTTCTTGTAACCTGGAAAGGGAAGGCAGAAATCACAGTACATGCTCAGAATGACTCCACAAGTTAACAAAAAATAGTACTAACACTCTCAATTTGCTTAAAAGGCTTAAACCGTTTTGCTAAAGAGACTCCAAATGACATATTTCATGCAAGACTAGAAGGTTGCTTCATCTGATATAAATTCAAGGACACTTTTCATTGCTTATTTCATGAAAGAGTATGATCATTACCTTGACAGTTCTTTTACTAAATTTTTCAATTGCATCCTCATCCCCAATCTGTAATGCAATTGGCACTTTAGAAATCCATCAAAAACAATGAAAAAGATAAACAAGGTCGGTAAGAAAGCTCTAAAACTACATTGAGGACCAACCTCCATAGCTCTGTTAAGATCTTGGGTAGCATCATCCCTCTTCAAGGACCTAAATAATAGCAAATATCAGAAATGTGTGTATTGAGATTTAATAGTGAATATGAGCAAAGAAATAATTTGACGCATACCTTTTTGCAAGCTCCTTTTTCTTCATTTCAGGTGGCTCACCATCAAAAACAAATCTAGCATAAAAGCTCAGCACAGTCAGCAAAAGTAAGCTAACTGCAAATAGTTGACAAGGACCACAGGAATGCAAGAAGCTTACACGGGCTTTATCCCTGCTTCTAACATTCTGACTGTCCGGTTCAACATACCCTGCAGATGACTACACAGTTCACATAGATGGAAAGTTAAATAAGCTGGATAATGATCAGACCACAGGCCACAGGCAGGGCAAGCAATATTTCTTGCCTTGTGATTTCACCAGCATCATTGGTCAGAAGCTCTGATCCTTTCCTTCCAACCACGATCTTTCCTTCCAACCACGATCTGCAGGAATTAACGACACATTTATATGAATCAAATGAAAACTAGACAAAAACACTATAGTACTATGACCCAATAAACAGTTAAATACAATAATACAAATGCCTGCACATGTTAATAGCATGAAACTTTGAGAGAACAAAAATTGTGCCGCTCGTAGTATTGCCTCCCCGCGACCCGCATCGAGCTCATCCTCGCCGCCGCACCCGCTTGCCAGATCCAGGCTCGGCCTCGCCGGATCAGGCTTCTCCTCGCTGGATCTGGTGATGGGCACTCGGATCTGGGCTGGCCCTCGCCGGATCGAGCTCATCCTCGCCGGATCTGGTGGTGGCCGCCACCATGTGCTTCATGCGGCCTCCAGCAGCGCGCCGGAGGAGAGAAGGTGAAGGGGACCGCGCCACCAAGTCCCGCCACCGTTGGAGCTCGACAGGAGGCCGCGCCACCGAGCCACGGCACCGAGCTCCGCCACCGTGCCTCCGCTGGGGGAGGGGACAGGGTCCCGTGCGCCGCCGGCGCAGGAGGAGGGGGACGGCCCCCCGCGCGATTGTCGGCGCTGGAGGAGGGCACCGAGCCCCGCGCGACCGCCGAGAGGCCGCGCCCCAAAACCCCCGCCACCCTAGGGTGTGCCGCTGAGTGCCGCCGTGCGGAGAAGAGGGGGGTGCGACGCCGTGCGCCTCCGCTGGAGAGGGAGGTCCCGTCACCGCGTGGGGGAGAGGGAGGGGCGGCGTGGGGGAGAGATGGAGGGGCTCGGAAGAGAGGGAGGGTGCGGGGGGGGGGGGCTGCCGCGCGCGCGGGTGGGCGAGGAGCCGCGGCCATCGGCACAACAAGCGAGGGAGAGAGAGAGGGAGTCGAGACGGAGAGAGAGAGAGGAGGGCAGTAGATATTTTGGATGGGTGTACGTGAGGGCATTTGTAGGGGCGGCTCAATCATCAGCCGCCCCTACAAATAGAAACACCGGGGACGGATGGTGAGTGAGCCGCCCCTACAAATCCTACCCATTTGTAGGGGCGGCTCGTATCACCAGCCGCCCCTGCTGTTTTATTTGTAGGGGCGGCTAGTCTCGTGGATCCTGAGCACGTCACTGTAAGGGCGGCTCCATCATCAGCCGTCACTAAAAAAAAATTATCCGTTGCTACAAACCGTTTTTCACGTAGTGGGTATTAGGTGGTGAGAATCCTTCTCTCCAAAAAGAAGTTTTTTTTTTCTAAAATACTACTAACTCGCTTAGCTACTGACCGACCGATTACCGGGTGGTACGATGCTGTTGTGCTTTTATACTGGGTCGATTAATTAACGTGCGATGCACCGGTTATGCTGCTTCCAGCGACTGTCCGTTCGGTACCTGCACCGTTGACGGTGGCCGGTCGCCGGATGCTGCCAAGTCTCACCTGGAGTCACCGATGCCACGTGGCTTGGTCCCGTCAAACCTGCATTACTTTGTCATTAGGGCAGTCTGTCTGATGCGTTGTGCACCTTACTACTTACACCTATTAATGTGCTGGTAGTAGTACAGAAATCTGAATATCTTTGTTTATATACAAAGGAAAAGAAAACAAAGCCGTCACCGCGCGCATATTTGAGACGAATTAAACGTTCCTTACATTTGCGCAAAAAAAAAAAACGTTTCTTACATGCCGAGACGGAGATAGTTGGGTCATTACGCGTGTGTTCATCGGAACCTCAGCTGTCCCATTCGAGATCTAATATTGTTCTCTTCATGGATCGATCTTAGATTCTGGTGAGCAATCGTAATGAGAACTTAGAAATGAAAACCAAGGTCATGTTTAGATTGTAAATTTTTGCAATCTGGACATTGTAGCACATTTCGTTTGTATTTGACAAACTTTGTCCGATCATGGACTAACTAGGCTCAAAAGATCCGTCTTGTGATTTACAACCAAACTGTGTAATTAGTTATTTTTTTTACCTACATTTAATGCTCCATGCATACGTCCAAAAATTGATGTGATGAAGAGAGAGTGAAAAAACTTAAAATTTGGAGATGATCTAAACAAGGCCCAAGGTTTGTTGTACGTTTTTTTCCCTTGTGTGAAGTGACGGCTTGACGTGTCTGGCTCATTTGGCCTCCAAAATTGGTCTATCCGCGTCCGCGTGGAGCAGGATTTTGAAGCAATCATGCATGCAAGCCGTGGAATATTACGTGCGGGGTTAGATCATGGTGATGGGTGAACCGCGCGCGCTGGCGAATGAACCCGACGCGCACAATGTTTTGCGAAACCGAACGCATCTATTGAGAACGAACGAATTCCTTTTTCTTTTTTATATGGTTCGGCGTTTGAATGTCAGCGAAGCAGCACTGTGTTTGTGCGCCGACGCGGCCCCTTGACGAGGTCCGGCGCTGCCCGCTGCCCGCTGTGCGGGCCACAAATGACACAAATGGAAAAGCGGCCCCGCGCACAGCGAAAAAACTGGTTAAAAACCGGTCGGGAGTCGAGGCTGCCGCCGGGGAATGGGCGAATGGCGTCGCCCCAGATCTGGGCGCTCACGGAAGCCGAAAGGCGACAAGCCCCTGGAGGCTGGAGCTGAGCTCAGTATAAGAGCATGTATAGTAAGAGCCAGTTTGGTTAATAGCCAAGACAACTCAGGCCTGGTTTAGTTCTAAAATTTTTTCACCCCAAACTATCACATCGAATCTTACGGCACATGTATGGAGTATTAAATATAGATAAAAAAACTAATTACACAGTTTGGTTGGAAATCGCGAGATGAATGTTTTAAGACTAACTATGCCATGATTAGCCATAAGTGCTACAGTAACTAACATGCGCTAATAATAGGTTAATTAGGCTTAATAAATTCGTCTCGCAGTTTCCAGGCGAGCTATGTAATTAATTTTTTTATTAATATCTGAAAACCTCTTCCGACATCTCAAAACATCCGATATGACATAAAATGAAAATTTTTATTTCGTGAAATAAACACACCCTCAGTAAAGTGCTAGGTGAAAGAGAAAGAAAGCACGAGAGAGAAGTGTTGGGCGACGCTGCCGTCGACCGGCTGCTCACGGGCTCCAAGACCACCGGGGCCCACTTGGAATCAATGCAGGCGGCACAGGCTTCCTTTTGGCCTGCGGACGTGAAGAGAGGCGAAGGGAGACTATGCAAAGATGAGTCATCGTGGGTCACACCTAAACTAAAATATATTTTTGGAATCCGTGAAGTGTGTTAGTTATTGTATGATTTGTTCATAAGAATAGTCTAAATATGATATAGCTTGACTATTAGACAAGCTTATTGAGCTTGCTCTAGGGACCTGTTTAGAACGGAGAAATAAAAAATAGAGGAAATAAAAAAATACAGGAATAAAAAATGAGTGTAGGTAGAAAATAGAGAATTAAAAAAACACAAAGAATTTATAGAAATAGGTGCTTGGAACATAGGAATATAAGAACATGTTTATTCCTTGGTTCCAGTGAATAAGGGCTTGCTCATCTCTCTATTTACATGTAGAAAAAAATTCCAAGAGTTTAGAGTGGATGTTTTATTTCCTCCATTCCATGAAGGAAAGCAAGCCTTTCCATAGGAAAGGAAAACTTCGTTCATCTATTCTAAACACCATGTGATGTAAGCAAAATATAGGAATTGGATTCCTTTGGAATTAGAGATATGAAGGCACGCCGTCTAGGCGGCCTCATAGGGTGTCCACGTATGTTTCATTTAGTTGGTGTGTTAGATAGAAATTCTACGACTCAGACGAAGCGCGTCACAACCAGTCTTCCTCCATGTATTCGGCAGTGGATAGATGAAACAAGTGGACGCATTCAATGAAGTAGATGAAAAATTGAATGACCATGCATGTAAGGACAATATAAATTGTAGGTGTACTTTGCATGCAAAAAGTTACTACGGTAGGGGATTTACATCACTATGCTTTCATGTGTTCTTTACATAAAAAAAGTAACTATGACAGGAGGAATTTACATCACATGTGCGTTCTTCTTTTACATTAATTATCAATAGATACTAGGCAGTAAATTTCCATGCATGCACGAGTGCCTCCCTAAGCTATCTAGAAATTCACTCAGTAAATTTGAAAGCACTGAATATCTTCACCTACGCAGGGTGGGTCGAAATCAGGTGGACACATTTAATGTCTCCCCTCCATGCTACCATCACATAAAAACAAGTCGGGCAGGTGGACACATTTAATGCCTCTCCTCCGTACCATCAGATAAAAATAATTCACCGACCATGCAGGAACTGATCCTAAATAAAATATGTCGTAAGTAAGTCACCCGCAGCGAAGCGCGGGCTGGACAAATTTGTTCGTATAAATAAAAAAGAAATTCGAACAAAATATGTCGTAAGTACGTCAGCTGCGGCGAAGCACGGGCACAACTGGCTAGTTCCTATGAAATTCCTCCAATCCAAATAAGCCCTAAACATGGAGTACTGGTGAGCTGCCGAACATACTCCCTCCATCCTAAAATAAGTGATACTTTTTGACGTTATGTTTGACCATAGGTCTTATTTAATTTTTTTATTAAATATCATCAACTTTATTATGACTTATTTTATCATTAAAGATATTTTAATAATAATTTATTTATTTAATAATTTATAAAAAAAGGATGAATAGTCAAACAAGATGTAAAGTAAAAAAACATCACTTATTTTCAGACGTGGTACTCTAATAATACTACTGACATGCTTTTGCACGGTCGGTCATCTGGTCAATGTGCAAACGCAGCTGCTCCCAAGTCCTAACCACTATTGTAGAGCAAGTATGACAAGGGAATGCAAGCATGCTAAATGTTGAGGTGGAGAAGAGAGAAGGGGAGAGAGGAGAAGCGAGTTGTAAACTTATAGCCGGCTTAGACATAAGAACCAAGAAACACTGTAAGATAGATAAGAGGGTCATGTATTAATAATGAATATGTAACTACTATATGGATAAGCTGAGAGGTAGGCTACGGGGATTCGTACTGCCGGCGTTCTGTTCGCTTGGCTTATAAGCCGTACTTTTTTTAGCCAACGAACAATATTTTTCTCTTACAACAAATCAGTCAACAGTACTTTCAGTCATGCCTTATCCGCCAAACACAATTATTAACGTTGCTGGTATACGCCGTCCGGTCCGAACATAGAGGTTGGCGTCTGGGGTCGCCAATGACACGTGGTTTGGTCCACCTGCCTACGATACATTTGCCCCGTATCTTGTTTCAGCCATACAAAGTCTCCGTCATTGTTTCAGCCCACTATATGTTCTTGAAGTACAGTCATATATAGGCCCTGTTCGTTTTGCTAAAAAGCCATAGCTGAAAGTATTATTCGCTAATTTGTTGTGAGA